ACACCTACTTTGATGAGCTAGGTAAGGTGTGCATGGAGGTGTATCTCACTGGGGCTAGACACTTAGTTGGTGGCCACTCAGTTGGATTCCAGGAAAAAAAACATGCTTTCATTTCCAGAGGATGTCTTCTTGCTGAGGACGAAGGATAGGAAGAGCCCGGAGATCTACGCCCTTTTCAGCACTGTCAGGTGGGTGGTCCAGCTCCAGCCTCTGGACACACCTAGCTGCAGCTGTCCATGACCTGCCCTGTCACTGTCACCAAGGGTTGCTGGCTGCTCCCCTGGTCTATCTGGGGTTGTCCGTGTTCCCACTGCCAGCAGCACCAAGCATGGCTCTGCTCAAGCCACTCTCCATCCCCTTGCAGCCACGTTTTCCGGGGTTCTGCTGTCTGTGTGTACCGCATGGCCGACATCCGGGAGGTCTTCAACGGGCCCTTTGCCCACCGAGAGAGCCCCCATCACCAGTGGGGTGCCTACGAGGGCAGGGTGCCCTACCCACGGCCGGGCGTGGTGAGTGACTCCCTGGAGCTCCTGGTCCCCTCTGCTCCTCCAACTGCTGTTCTGGGGTAGTGATGGAGCCATCCCCCATCTTCTCACCTGCTGGAGAGGTCTGGCAAAGGGGTGGAAAAGATGGATTCCAAACTGGAAGGCAGAGAGGGACCCAAAACAGCTCTGATGGGTGATGGGGGGGAAGGAGTGATGGGTGCTGTGGTGGCTGGGCTGAGCTGGTCCCCTCTTGTCCCTGCAGTGTCCCAGCAAGACCACCAACCAGCCCCGGCGGCAGTACGGCACCACCAAGGACTTCCCTGACGAGGTGCTGCACTTCGCCCGCGCTCACCCGCTCATGCACAAGCCCGTGTACCCCCGGCACCGCCGGCCCCTCCTCGTGAAGACTGACCTGCCCCACCGGCTGCGCCAGCTCGTGGTGGACAGGGTGGAGGCCGAGGATGGGCAGCACGACATCCTCTTCCTCGGCACAGGTGAGCAGCAGGAGCAGAGTGCAGAATGGAGCTGCAGAGCTGGGGGTCCCAGTGGGCACCCCCATGGGCTGTGTGATGCAGGGTGGTCACACCTCCATCCTCCTTGGTTCCCAGATGCTGGCTCGGTGCTGAAGGTGGTGGTCATGCAGAAGACTAGCTCAGCCGTGACTGAAGAAGTCATCCTGGAGGAGCTGCAGGTTTTTAAGGTGACATTTACTGCCCCACTTGCAAGGGAAGGGGTAGTGGAGTGGGCTCAGGTTGGGGACACATGTGGGGATGGAGGCTCAGGGCTGTCAGTGCACTGTTGGTCACTGGAAGGTCTCAGGGTTGTGAGGGCAGAGGGTGTTTTCACCTTCCCCAAAGCATTTCTGATGCTCTGCCATGCCCTGGTGTCTCTGAATGAGCCAGGCTGTCTGTGATGAGGATTATGCCAGCCTGATGTCCACTCCCCTCCCCTACAGATGCCTGTGCCCATCACCCAGATGGAGATCTCTGTCAAGCGTGTGAGTACAGACACGGCTCGGCCATGGGGCTGGGGACTGGCAGGTGACCACCTGTGGTCGCCAGCCTCTTAAA